AATAATAATAATAATAAGGCTTAGTGAGAACTAAACTGATCTTATAAACTGGCGCTAGTTTCGAGAGTAGTTTTATTGTATTAGATTTAATATTGAACACATACATATTGTTCACGTCTTTGAAACCATACGATTCTTTACCTCATTATCAGAAACATAAAAAGAACTGAAAAGTTTCCTTGCTGTTAAGTTCCAACAACTGCCAGAGAAATTTTGAACTTTGCGAGGACTGAGAAGAAATCTTTACTTAAACTGTAGAGTATTTCATTGTTTTAGGATTAATTTTTCTAAAATATCAGCATCTATTTTTAAAAATTACGAACAAACTGTATCTCCGCTGGAGCGTATTATATAATATTCAGTATTTTTATTTAAGTGTCCAGCTTGTTTGTAGTTAAGCACAAAGCTAGACAATGGGCTATCTGTGCTCTGCCGCCCCCCAGTGCCACAGCGGAATGTCTGCGGACTTACAACGCTAGAATCCGGGTTTCGATACCCGTGGTGGGCAGAGCACAGACAGCCCATTGTGCAGCTTTGTGCTTAATTACAAACAAACAAACTGTGCTCTGCCCACCACCGGTATCGAAAACCGATTTCTAGCGTTGTAAGTCCGCATCCATACCGCTGTGCCACTGGGGGGCTTAAGTGTTCAGATAGGGCAAATTATAAATACTTCTAATTTCAAATTATAATTAAAAGATTGGGAGTAAGCAGCTATGAGGTTATGTCACAACTAGAATAATAAAACAAAAGATTATAGAGTACAAATATTGTTTAACAATATCAAAATTTATGAAGGGCAGAACGAGAACGATTCAGATGCTGCAAATAATAATTATAATAACAACTTTTAAATACACAGAAAACCACTGTAAACCTGTTGTCCCTTGTAAGCAGCAATTCCGTTAATCAAACACTAACTGCTCACTTGATTCTGGAATTATTAATAAGTAAAGAAGAGTGTGCATTAATAAAAGTTAATTACCGACTAATTAATTAATTGTGAAATTATTGATAAGTAAAGAAGAGTGTGTATTAATAAAAGTTAATTACCGACTAATTAACTAATTGTGAAATTATTAATAAGTAAAGAAGAGTGTACATTAATGAGTTAATTACCAACTAATTAATTAATTGTGGAATTACTAATAGAATTAATAAAGAAGAGTGTGAATTAATAAAATTTAATTGCCAACTACTTAATTAATTGTGAATTTTTTAATAAGTTTGATACATGAGGGTTATTTGAGCTAGCCGTCCCTAATTTAGCAGTGTAAAACTAGAGGGAAGGGAACTAGTCATCCCCACCCACCGCCAAGTCTTTTACTAACGAATAGTGTGATTGACCGTCACATTATATCGACCCCACGGTTGAAAGGTTGAGCATGGGGGTGTGACAGCGATTCGAACCCGCGAAGTGCGAGTCGAGCTCCCTAACCACCTGGCCATGCCCTATTAATAAGTAAAGCAGAGTGTATAATAATATTTAACCACACTATTTATGTTATATTCAGCTCCGTTATACTTCAAAATTTCGTTATTTCTATTATGTATTTCCAAAGTATTTGTAAAAGTAATAAATATTTTCATTTCACTAAAACTAGAAACAATATTTTCGTAGACCAACTTGTCACCTACATTATAGCACCAAAAAATTGCGATTAAGTTTATATTAGCGCTACAATGGAAACTGCAAAAGTATAAGAATGTATTTCTTTATTAGGGGCTACTAATGTGACGATGGGCCCGGCATGGCCAGGTGGTTAGGGCGCTCGACTCGTAATCTGAGGGTTGTGGGTTCGAATCCCCGTCACACCAAACATGCCAACCTCCGCCTTTGCCTGGTCCCAAGTCCAGAATGAGAAAGGAGGAGGGTTGGGCGCGGGGCTAGCAACTCCACCCCGTAAAAACCAACCTGCTACAAGTAACTGCAACAACAACTTCCGTTGGGAGTTTACAGGAATAAAAAAAATAATAATAAAAAATGTGACGATACCTAGGTTCTAATTTTTAACCTAATTTATTTAATGTCAGTAGTTAGGTGTGGCCGTAAATATTTACTTGTATATAATGAGTTAAGATCCAAAGTTGTGCGATCTACGAAAATGAACGGAAGTTTTCTAACAAATTCATTTAAATAGAATACGAAAACAAATTCGCAACGAATATTGAATATATATTATTTTACTTACCTTATTATCCTTACCAGATCGCATCATTTATATATATATTATTTTACTTACCTTATTATCCTTACCAGATCGCATCATTTATATATATATTATTTTACTTACCTTATTATCCTTACCAGATCGCATCATTTATATATATATTATTTTACTTACCTTATTATCCTTACCAGATCGCATTATTTATATATATATTATTTTACTTACCTTGTTATCTTTAGCATATCCCATTATTTATATATATATTATTTCACTTACCTTGTTATCTTTAGCAGATCCCATTATATATATATATTATTTTACTTACCTTGTTATCTTTAGCAGATCCCATTATTTATATATATATTATTTCACTTACCTTGTTATCTTTAGCGGATCCCATTATATATATATATTATTTTACTTACCTTGTTATCTTTAGCAGATCCCATTATTTATATATTTCGAAATTTCTCCCCTCTTCTACTTTAATCGTCGAAATTTAACTTTCACTCTTCTCCCGAAAAGAATTTTGAGGCCGAGAGTTGATTTTACACGATATTTATACTGTTTCCTGCAGCCGTTATCATGTGATTAACTGTTTCCATTTTCAAGAATAGACAAGGAATAATAGTATGCAAAAAGTTAAGAGTCCTAAGTTTAAAAATATTTAAAATTTACACAAATAGCAGTTATTTATACTTTTTCGAGTTGTCAGTTGGGAAGTATTTTGACATATAACTATTTATCTTAATAAGATGGACTCGTCCAAAGGCGGAGCATAAAGCATGTGATATGTGTTTACGATGGTCTTTCAACACAGGTGTTGATTACAATGAAGAAAAATATCGTTTAAGTAAAGTTAAACGTAATGCATATTCACCAATATGCTATGAAAAATCTTAAAATTAAAAGTATGGTCAAGTGTATTTCAATTCAGCTCGTCGTTAACACCGTATTTTATATGCCAGCTTTTTTCCATGGAACTTATCGAAATATTAGCAACAAAGCTTATTTGATTAAGTTATACATTTATATCAGTTGTAAGTCGAAGTAAATCACTTTACATATTTATGTAACTTATTATTTAAAAGCATTTTCAGATTTACAAGCTGTATTAAAATATTAAATCATATATATATATATATGTATAGGAATAGACATAAAGCGACTACAAAGCGAGCCCTACTTGTACTTGAAAACGGTTGCTATAGAAATGACAGATATCCAAAGTTATGTTAATATTAATAGCTTACAGCTTGAACAATAAAACAGATAAACGTCAAGTACAACAATATTTTACCAGTCTTCACTCTAGCAAACACGATAAACTACAATCAAGCTACCAGTTCTTACAATAAAGGACATAATAGTATACTAGCTAGAGTACCTATTCTCTGGTTATGTAAAGTCATGATTAGTAAAAGGTTATCTTAGAACATGAAAATTTGCTTCCCTTATACATAATTGTAAAAAACGTAAAAACCTCCATTAAAACTGGAAAACACAAAATGTGAAACCGTAACTTTGCTTGTATCTCTGCACGGATCCAACAAACTTTCATCTTAAATTTGGTGAAGATTCATCAACAGGGGTGAAGTAGTGGTAAAAAACACCCATAAAAACCGCAAAATTGAAAACTTGCTTGTATCTCTGTGAATAGATCTTCACCAAATTCGGTATGGAAGTTCATTTGGTGAAGAGCTATCCACAGGGGCGAAGTATTGGCGGAAAAAAAAACACGCAAAAAAATGTCCATAAAAACCACAGAACTGAAAATGTTAATGCACCCCTGCATAGTCTTAATGAACCTCCATAACAATTTTGGTGAAGATCCATTTACACCCTGCGAAGTAGTTACATGGACATACAACAGACAGTACTATTATATATAGAGAGAAGTAGTTACATGGACATACAACACATAGTGCTATTATATTTATTTAGAAATAGTTACATGGACATACAACAGACAGTACTATTATATTCATATAGTAGTAGTTACATGAACATACAATAGACAGTACTATTATATTTATATAGAAGTAGTTACATGGACATACAACAGACAATACTATTATATACATATTTCACAACATGAAAGTAGTTACATGAACATACAATAGACAGTACTATTATATTTATTTAGAAGTAGTTACATGGACATACAACAGACAGTACTATTATATTCATATAGTAGTAGTTACATGAACATACAATAGACAGTACTATTATATTTATTTAGAAGTAGTTACATGGACATACAACAGACAGTACTATTATATTCATATAGTAGTAGTTACATGAACATACAATAGACAGTACTATTATATTTATATAGAAGTAGTTACATGGACATACAACAGACAGTACTATTATAGTTATATAGAAGTAGTTACATGGACATAAAACAGACAGTACTATTATATTTATATAGAAGTAGTTACATGTACATAAAACAGATAATACTATTATATTTATATAAAAGTAGTTACATGGACATAAAACAGACAGTACTATTATATTTATATAGAAGTAGTTACATGGACATAAAACAGATAGTACTGTTATATTTATATAAAAGTAGTTACATAGACATAAAACAGATAATACTATTATATTTATATAAAAGTAGTTACATGGACATAAAACAGACAGTACTATTATATTTATTTAGAAGTAGTTACATGGACATACAACAGACAGTGCTATTATATTTATATAGAAGTAGTTACATGGACATACAACAGACAGTACTATTATATTTATATAGAAGTAGTTACATGGACATAAAACATATAGTGCTATTATATTTATATAAAAGTAGTTACATGGGCATAAAACAAACAGTACTATTATATTTATTTAGAAGTAGTTACATGGACATACAACAGACAGTACTATGATATTCATATAGTAGTAGTTACATGAACATACAATAGACAGTACTATTATATTTATATAGAAGTAGTTACATGGACATACAACAGACAATACTATTATATTTATATAGAAGTAGTTACATGGACATA